TGGGCCCTCCGGTCGACTCTCTTCCCTTACATCATGAGACGGATCAGGCACATCTTAGTCCTCAGACACTCTTGCTTTTCAACACTTTAAAGCAGTCTTGTGCAGTGGATTTACGAAATGGTTGATCTATCCATTGTTTGCTCTCTTGACTTCTGATTCCATGAGCATTGTTTGTGAATTCAAGCAAGACAAAATCCTTGGTGGTGTTAGTCTTTTCTCCACACCACCTATTGGCCCAGTTGTGAGGATTTGGGTTGTTGTTGTTTTTTTAATATAGTTTCATTGACAAGTGGTTAACATAGCTTACACATCCATATTTCAGTCATATTAAAGAGTTGTATAATCACCTCTACATTCAATTCCAGAACATTTTCTTCTCTTTTATGTATTTGTTATTAACTCCCCATTTCTTTCCAAACCCCTCCCCAAATAAGCCCCTAATCCAATTAAAGTCTCTATAGCTTCACACATCCTGGTCTTCATATACTGGAAAATTTACACACACACACACACACACACACACACACAATACCAAGAATAATGGCAAAATAAAACAGAAAACAATCTAAATCAAGAAAATAAAAAGAGTATTAAAAAACAGAACAATGTTCTCTGTTTTATAGCAAGGCTATTCACAGCTCTCAACTATGATCTGAGGGTATTTATCAGATCATAGAGACTGATGTAGGGACCCTGAAAATGGATGTTAGTTTCCCACTATCATCCACTGCCTTCTGCAATCAGGTGCTCACAGTTTAAGCTCGGATACCATTTCCTCTTTCGGATTTGGATTGAGAAAAGTGAGGAAAGAGTACTGGAAGAGAAGGGACACTGTGATCCTAGAAAAGGAAATGATAATAGTGGGAAGAGAGGGTTTCAATGCTCCCTGGTGTTATAGTGGGTTATACAAGGGGTACCCCCCCCAAAATGAATTTTTTTCAAAGCTATATTTAAAATTTTTTACACAACAACCTATCACCTTCAAAGTACTCTCCATTACACTCAATACATTTGTCAAATCTGCGATTCCATTCTTGGAAACATTTTCAAACTTGTTGGTTTGGATGGCTGACGGCACTTCCCTCATTTTTTTTCTTCACCTTTTCTATTTCGTCAAATCACTGTCCTTTCATGTCCCTCTTTATTTGCAGAAACAAAAAGAAATCTCAAGGAGTGACGTCAGATGTGTAAGATGTGTGGGTGAGGTAGTTTATTGTGCCAACCTGACCAATGAACACATGTGGGGTTAATTGAAGGGCGGGGGATAAATGGCTCAGTGAGCCTCTCCTTTCTAGTTCTCCGGTCTCTTGATTTGTGATGGCCGCACCAGGGTGCAGCTGCCTTAGAAGTTCCCTGTTTCAGCTTGCGAGGCTGACTTCCTACAAGACATCCCTGAGAAAAAGCCACATGGACCTACCCTGATGCAGCCCTGGGTGCTAGAGCAGCCGTGTGGAGACCCCTGCCAGCGCTGAGATGTTTACACACTCACTAACTCAGCTTTCCTTTGCAGTCGGCATCATTGTGTCTCTTTTGTGAGATGGAGGAGGATTTTGTGGATTGGTGTTGGACATATGGGCTAATGGGTTAATGTTGGACTTATGGGCTTGGGCAGCACTGGGTTGGATGTTTTCTTAATGTGCACTTACCCCTTATATAAAACTCTCTCTTATGCATGAGTTTCTGTGGATTTGTTTCTCTGCAGTACCCAGACTAACACCGGCTGGTTTTTTTTTGCCAAAACCGGTGCACTGAGATGGCTACATGAGCAGGTGCATTGTCGCGGTGGCAAAACGAGTCACCCATCTGCCACAAATCAGGATTTTTTTTGGTCACACATTGTTATGTAGTCGTATCAGAACCTCTTAATTGAAAATTTGATTGAAAGTCTGAAGTGGTGGAACTAACTCCAAATGCACTGTCCCCTCACATGAAAAATATACATGTGAGAGTCATCATGATCTTTGATTTCATCTGATGAGCTTTTGGGGGCAAGATGACGATGGAGTCTTCCATTGGCTTGATTGATGCTTGCTTTTGGATTCCTAAGAATAGCACATATCTTGTCATCAGAATTGACCTTGGGAAAAAAGAAGTCTGCGATGTTTCAGAGCTATTGTTTCAAAGCACAGTGTGTTCCCACTTGATGCTCTTTTTGCTGGCAACAACCCTTCTCATTCCCAAATCTTCTGTTAAGATTTGCTTAACTGAGCTCCGAGATGGTCCAGATAATTTCCCCATCTCTTCAATAGTCCATTGCCAGTCTTCGAGCACAAGTGGACAAATTTTATCGACATTTTCATCCATTTGGGAAGTTGGTGGACCTCCAGAACGAGGTTTGTCATCAATTGACATTTCAGTTTTTTGAAATGAGAAAACCACTCATACACTTGAGTTTTTCCCTTGGCACTGTCCTTGTAAGCGGTGTTCAACATCACAACAGTTTTTGCGGCATTTTTCCAGAGCAGGAACTCAAATTTCACAGCCGTATGCTGTTCTCTTAAATCAGCATGACAGAAAATGAGGTTCGATCAGAACTGCTTTCACAAAAAATGTTACTGTCATGAGAGAGAACCTTCCCAGGTGATGCCAGTGGCTGCACTAACTCGGGGGGCAGTTGCTTGAAGCTCGCCTAGTGGGGAAAATATGTACTTAGAAAGCTGCACCTAATGGAGTTTTTCTCTGGGTTTATTGGGGATACCCCCTCAAATGTTGGTTTCTAGCCATAAGGTCAGTAATTTGAACCCATCAGCTGATTCAGATAGGTTAAGTGATTTGTCTTCTCTCACCCTGCCAACAGAGAACAGTACAGTTTACAGGAAAGTGTGTGTGCAATTTTATAGTCCCTCACCATACTGATTCAATCTGTATCCTGAGCACCTAATCAGAGAAGCTGGAGCTCAACTCAGTGTAAAGAAAACCAGAAGCCTCACAACTTGACCAGTAACACCATGTCCAGAGCAAGGGCATATTGCATGAATCAAAATTCAGAAAGGAGTGTGCCATGCTGAGCAAATAATCGGAGAAAATGGATTATATGAAGAGAAATGTGGCATCAGGTTTGGAGGAAGGCTTATTAACAACTGTGATATGCAGGTGATACAACCTTGCATGCTGAGCGAGGAGGACTTGAGGAACTTGCTGGTGAAGATCCAGAATCGCAGCCTTCAGTACAGATTACAGCTCAATGTAAAGAACACTCAAATCCTCACAACTGGACCAGTAGGGAAGATCATGGTACATGGAGACAAGATTGAAGTTGCCAAGGATCCCCTCCTGTTTGGATCCACAATCAATGGTCATCGAAGCAGCAGTCAAGACATCAAACGACTCACTGCATCGGGTAAACTTGCTACACAAGATCTCTTTATAGTGTTGAAAAGCAAGATGTTTCTTTGAGAACTACAGTGTGTCT